TGCCCACGCCCGCCCCCGGGCGCGGGGACCCGCCACCGACCTGGCCGGAGCGGGTGGGACCGGTTTGAGGTGGCTTTGTCTCCCTGCCGCACCTTCCGGAAGCCCTTCCTGACCCGGTGGGGTTTTAACTTTCTTTTTTTTAACTTTTCCGTAAAATACAACCCATGCCTGGAAAACTTGGCACAGCCTCAACAAGGATAAATGACTGAGACTGATCGGAAAACATGAAATATAGGTAGATAGATAGACAGATAGATAGATAAATAGATAGACAGATAGATAGATGATAGATAGATAGATAGATACATAGATACATAGATAGATAGATGATAGAGATCCTATATCAGTGAACCTAATAATTGGCTACTGGTTGCCGATGGCAACGGCACCAGCTCCTTCATTCATTCTGAACTGTTTAAATTAAGGGCAAAGCATCTAGCGCCCCTCTTGCCCTTTCTGAAAGAACTGTATTTCAGAGTCACAAAATAGTTGAAGGTAAGTTGTTTTTAGAAGAGTACAGTTGGTAAATGAGGAAGGAGTGAGATAATTAGAAAATCATTTTTGCAGCCCTTAATAAAATGACGATGGATCCAGGCGACGATCATCCAGAGATTAAAAACAAGAGGTTGGCGGGTAACTGGAAAATGGACGGGCCAAGCTGTCCTGACCTGGACCCGCCACTCTTTAGCAGGAAGTACCAGCGCCACGTATGATGGATTCTTGCCAATACCCTTTGAACTGTAACCTGATCTGACCCCTACATCTAACAAACGGTTTACCGGATACATGGGGATGGAGGAAAAAATAAAAGTGGAAGCAATCAGCCAAATTCAGAATGAAAAGCACTCTATGAGACCAACGACCCAGTTTCTTCCATAAGTAAATGGTATAAAAAGCGAAGGGAGGGAAGGAATATTGGTTTAAAAAGACCTAAGAGCTGTAATAACCAAACGCAATGCAAAGGCCTGTTTGCATCCTAAATCAAATAAACCATGTCTAACCAGACATTTTGGAGACCACCCGGAAAATAAAACTTAATTTTTGCCAACCCAGTGAGAGAAAAATTGCATCTTATTTTTGAACTCACGTATTTCTGGATTCCTGGTGAGGTTTTCATATATTTATTGGCCGTATATTTTATCTTCTTTTTTTAAAGTAAACTTTCTAATTGAAGTATAGCATACAAACAGAAAAATACACAAATCATAGAGTGCCCCTCTATGAATCTGAACAGCACAGAAGTAACCAGTACGCAGATGGAGAAATGGAACATAGCCAGCTTCCCAGAAAGGCTCCTTTTGCCCTCTCCCATCCACTATGCCCCTCCAAAATTTAGGGGATTCATTTTACCTGTTTTTAAACTTTATGTAAATGGGATCACAAAATATGATCTTTTCTGATTGGTCTCTTTTATTCCACGTTTTATTTATGAGCCCCATGCTGTGCATATATGTCTTTTTTGGGGGGGGTGGTGTATGGAATGTTCGTTATCTTCTAAAGACAATCTTGTGGCATATAATATTTTGGAAGAAAATATAGGAGAATGTACTATTACCTACTTAAAAATTGTAAAATGGACACACTTTTTATTAAATGTATTTAAAGGAGAAATTGTGGATCACTATCATCCTAAACAATGAAACGCACGAAAACACAGGTTTGCTATGCTAATTGCACTTTTTTCAAAAATCCATTTGACATACAACTTTTAATTTTTCATATGTATACTACATAAATCCTCATGTACCACCTGTGCATTTGTGGGGCTTTCTTTTTGTTTTGGAAGGAGGAGGGGCACTTATCCAAATTCAATCACATTCTTCATTCATTCACTCATTCATTCATCCATACGTTCAACAACTATTTATTGCTTGCCTACTCTGCAGCCAGATCTTATTCCAGATTCCTCAAATGTTCTTCCTGGGACAGTTTTTAAAAATAACTTTATCCTTTCTAAAATTCTAAAATAACTCCTAGGTCCTTCACCTTTCTTTGTGATATCATTTATTTAAATGTTTGCCCTTAACGAATTAACACAACGGAAAGAAGGTGACACACTGTAACGGTTCTATTCTCAAGATAATTACAGGATTCAGAAAATATATTATTTCCCAGTGCACTGCAGACAATGTAATGTGTAATGAGAGTTTAAAGCTAATAAATGCTTTCTCCTTTCAGTTCTTTCCCCGTAATGGAAATATTGAGTCCCTTTTACCACCCAACTTAATGTATGTTTCTTATAGGAATATCAAAAATTACAAGTGAGCAAAAAAAAAAAAACAGAGGGAAGAAGTTTGTATTGGGGGCGGGGTTATATTTTTAAAGGTGACAAAACGCTCCTACTCTCAAGTGGCCAAATTAGTATTAGCAGATAATTCAAATTTAGAGGCTCGGACTACACCGCGTGAGAAGAACCCTGGGTTTCAACCAGGCCTCGGTTAGCACCTCAGGCCTCGCCCCTCTTTTAAGTTGGCCCCGCCCCGACTCCGACTCCGCCCCGCCCCGCCCTGCCTTTCCGCGTGGCCCCGCCTCTAGCACCGCCCCTCAGTGGCCGGGTTGCCCTCAGCTCTCGCGAGAGCGCAGCCCGGAAGTTTTCCGACCTGAGCCGGCAGACTGGGAACCCACGAGGGCTGAACTTCGGAGTGCGCTGGGGGTGAGCCCCGCCTGAACCTAACAGGACCTGAGCGCCATGGGGAAGCTGCATCGGCGGTACAACGTCAAGGGGCGCCAGCAGGCAGCTCCCGGCCCCTCGAAGGGCGCCCCCGAGCCGCCCCCGGTGCGGCTGGAAATAGAGGGTAAGACGTCTCCGGAGCTGGATTTCGGGGGAGGGGCCAAGCAGGGCCCCGCGGCCAGTGCTGGCCATTGGGGACCCAAAGGCTCCCGGACTTCGCCTTTCCTCTAAGGTGATACAAAGGAAGGGGGACAGTGACAATCTAATTTTAACTGATTAGGACAATACCAGGAGTTTCTCTCTCTTAGAGTCCAGCCCTAGTATAACAGCATGGGGAGTTTGGGCAAGAAAATAAGTTAATTTCATCCCTTCTCATCGCTTCTATTATAATTTATCCGGCGACTTATAAGTTCGTGTCTAAGCCCAGACCTGTCTGCTCAGCTCCAGAGTGCTTGACACTCCTTTGTAGTAGGAGTGCCTACTAAGGGCCAGGAACTTCTAGGTGCAGGAGACATGACGGAAAAGGACATTTAAGGAAAAAAAATCCCTGCCCTGCTGAGCTTAGCTGCTCCAGGAAGGAGACAGGCAAAGACAAACCTGTCGAATCTATAGAATGTAGTGCCAGATGTAAGTACTGAGGAGATAAAGCCAGAGAGATGCTTGGGTGGGTTGCCATGTTTCATAGGGTGAGTGGGAAAGGCCTCACTGAGAATGTGTTATTTGAATCAAGACCTTAAGGCAGCCAGAATGGCTGAGTAGAGATGAAATTAAACATGGGGGCAGGGTCATGCGGGCCCCTTGGGTCATGGGGAGGACTGGCCACGGGAGATAGCTGCATTGCTTAAAATTCTCATTCTTCTCAATGAAGGTCACGATACACCTCCTGCACTTTGTCACAAACGTAAAGACACAAAAAGCCTGAGCAGTTAGTTAATAGAAGAGTCGCTTAGTGCCCAGATGGGACACTGGAGGGAAAGCCCAGCGTTAGAGACTAATACGCACTCCCCAGGGTCCCTTCTCCTCAAGGTGCTGCAGTGAGTTGAGTCAAAGAGTAATGTGAGAGCTGAAATTTGGTCTTGACTGTATACTTTAAAACTGTGACTTTAAAAAGTATTTATGACACAACCTCAGTACTTGGTCGACTGCACGCTCTGAAGAGAACATGTAGTATCATTACGAAGATAACTTTGACCTTACAGACCACTGAGAGCACGCCCCACTCCGAGGGAAGCACTGTTACAGCATGTACCCCCCTTACTGGTACCCTTCCTCCCCTAACACCAGGATGGAGGTGGCGGGGCCTGCACCCCCTGTGTCTGTGACAGTACCGAGGGGGCTCATGTGGGGCAAGAGAGCCCCAGAGGAAGCAGAATTATTGGGGATTGCTGAGTATCGCCAGTGCTCAGACTCCCTGGCCCCGGGGCCGTGGGTCAGGCAAGCATGTCTTTTCAGATAAGGGCACGTTGAAAGGAATCGATGGCAGCAACGTGCTCGTCCTGCCGGGGAAGAAGAAGAAGAAGACCAAGGCCCCTCCACTGCCCAGGAAGAGGAAGCCTCTGACCAAGAAAGAGCGGAAAGTGCTGCAGAAGATCTTAGAACAGAAGGAGAAAAAGAACCAGGTGTGCCCGCTCTGTCAGGGTCTGCACACGGCTCTCCAGAGTGGGGGACAGAGGTGGGGGGTCTGAGTCCCAGAATGCCGGGAGCAGGGAGACTGAGAGACCCGATCTCAGAGCTTCATGAGATTCACGTTTGACTTTCTGTCAGGGTCACCTCACACACAGGGTGCTGTGTCTCCAACAGGGGACACCCAGGTTTCCTGTTAGCAGCACTGCCACTTAGTCCCTGGAGCCCTTAATACAGGGGAGACTCACGGTCCTGGGAGTGGGTCCTTTTAAAATCCTGTGCAGTATTTTTTCTGCTGTTCAGTACCTTGTTTTTTCTTATTATCGATTGTGAAGTATATATACAGTAGCACATATAAACTATAATTTCAAGAATAATAAAATGAAAACTCATGAATCACCAGGGGAAAGAAACCACTAGGCCCATCTCCACACACTGCTTTATTCAAGACAGCGTGGGGACCCCTTCCCAGCACACGGCTGCTGTCGTCACAGCTGGGGGTGCTGCCTCATACAGATGGGCCTCCTTATTTAACTGGTCTCCCGGTGGTGGGCATCTGGGTCGTCGACAGGCTTATGACACATGGTGGAGCAAAGAGAGCCTTGTTTAGCTAACCCCAGACGCCGTAGGGGTACGAAGCCACCCTAAGCTCGCGCATCTGTTGGCGTAAGAACGCCACGCAATGGTGCAATTGCAATTAGACTTGTGGTTTAAAAAGACTGAAGTGTCAGCCATTCTGAAATTTCATGGCGTCTCACTTGGAAGAAAGAGTTGTGATGCCATGTATCTAACACATGTGTTCTTCCCCAGCGAGCAGAGATGCTGCAGAAATTGAGTGAGGTCCAGGTTTCAGAAGCAGAGATGAGACTCTACTACACCATGTCCAAGCTGGGCACCGGGGAGCGCATGTACCACACCAAAGAGTAAGTCTGGCAGCCCTTTCTGAAGCCGGTCGCTTTGGCCAGGGCCCTGGGGAAGGGCTCTCAGGTGATGAGTCTTCTGGAGTTGAGTGTGTGGAGGAAATACATTTCCAGTGGCCTACGTGCCATAATGCTTCTCATGGGCAGAGGCCCAGATGTCACTGAATACCACACAAAGCACAGGACAGCAAAGTTTCTTATTCCAATGGTGATGCCTTTTGCATAGAAGATTAGGCTAGAAATTGTGGTTAGGTGGTCACATTAGATTTGGCCCCTTAGCAAGCTTCGTTTGGTTTATATAGTAGTATTAAGGCATTCAGATCTTTTGCCAAAGTATTGGCCCCCTGGAGCCGCTGTAACAAATTACCACAAACTGGATGCCTAAACATGAGAAATTTATTTATTCTCTTGTGGCCTAAGGGCCAAAACCATGGTCTTCGGTGTCAAAGTCAAAAATTAAGGTGTCAGCAGGATTGGTTCCTTCTGCCTTCTGCAGGCTGGAGACTTCCACGCCTCTCTCCTAGGCTCTGGTGGCGGCCTCGTCGTTTCTTGGTTTGTGTACACATCAGTCCATCTCCACCGTCACACAGCATCCTCCCAGTGTTTGTCTTCCATGGCATTCTCCTCTGTGTCTGTGTCTCGTTTTCTCTTCTTATAAGGACACCAGTCACTGGATTTATGGCCCACCCCAGTCCCACATGACCGCAACTTAATCACATCCACAGAGACCCCGTTTTCAAATACAGTCACATTCTGAGTCTCCAGTGGACGTGAATTTTGGGGAGACACTATTCAACCCAATACAGCCATCACTTAAGAATTAGGAGATTTCATATTAAAATGCAGGTTCCCACCTGGTCTTGAATAGTTGGACGATCTGGCCACACCGGCTGGCATTTCTACCGGGCAACTAGCCTCGGATGGAGCTCGTGCGCTCCTCCAACCCTAGACCCCCACTCACCTCTGTCCACTCTCGGCGGGCTCTGTTCATCGTGTTAGTGCCGACCTGGTGCCCGTAAGCATTCTTGTGCATCTAACGACTGCTTACGGAGTGCAGACTGTGCCCTGGGCTCTCATCGGGCCCTGGGGCTAGAGCAGTGAACAAAAATAAAATAATAACCTTCCCTTCAGAAGCTTGTCTTCTAGCGGAGATGGGCAGCAATCAAATGAACGCATACGGAGCTAGTGCTGGTAAACACTAAGCAGGAAATGAAGCAGGGAAGAGAGGGTGGAGGGAGATGGGAGATGTGACGCAGGCTGGTGGTCAGGGAAAGCCCCTGAGCGGTGACGCTTGAGTGAGGTGAGGGAGCGGGAACAGCACGTGCAAAGGCCCTGAGGTGGGGAGGCGCTTGGCCTTCGAGCTCTGGCCTCGGGTGAGCGTTTGTGGTCAGAGCTGCCTCAGGTCCATCCAGGGCCTCATGCCTCATCCCCGACAGGAAGTCTGACGCAGTCACAGCCCCGGATCAGAGGATCAGCAGCCTTAGTGGAGCCCACCGGAAGCGCCGGCTCCGGGAGGCAGAAGAGGAGTCTGAGTCCTCAGTGGAGTCTGAACCCGAGGAGGCCCCGGCTGCTGAGCGGGTGGGGGCTGGTGCAGGGATGGTGGCAGCGTGTTGGCCACCCACTCTTCCGGGGGCTGGGGGCGAGAGCCCAGTGCCCAGTGGCCCGGCCACTCAGGCCAGAACTGCTGCTCCTCCAGCTCCTCCGGCCACAGCCTCCACCCTGGCCAGGCCCCCGGCGAAGCCCGCCGTCTTCATCCCGGTCAACCGCTCCCCCGAAATGCAGGTTCGTCCCTCCAGTGTTTGTGAGAACTGGGGCAGAGGGCACACGTCCCCCTGATTTGGGCAGGTCATGTCACCTATACCGTAAACATAGACCCCCTACCAGCAACAGCTGACAGTTCCCACATCTCAGACCTCCTCTGCACCGGCCGGGCTGTCCCCATGGACATCGGTCTCGTGCTCCAAAGGACCTAGCCCATGTCTCTGTCTCCCATGGGCCGTGGCTCCCCTGCCCCTCCCCAGCTGTCAAGGCTTCTGTTCTCCAATGGACGCATCTGGTGCCCTGTCCATGTGCCAGCTGCCAGCTTTAAGAAACCACATCACCCTACATAGTCTCGCTTTGTCTGAGCAAAGTCCCCTTGTCCCTGCTGCCATTCTGCAGGGGACACATGCGTGCACACACACCCCGTTCCCTGAGCACTGACTTCCTAGAGCGGCTGAAGCTCCCGATTCTCTCTGAAGAACAAGTGATCATGGAGGCGGTGGCCGAGCACCCCGTTGTCATCGTGTGTGGCGAGACTGGCAGCGGGAAGACCACGCAGGTGCCCCAGTTCCTCTACGAAGCAGGCTACAGCAGGTGGGGCTGGTGCCGGGTCCTCCACAGGCCCCTTGGGTGACGGGGTATATTGTCCCCAAAAGTCTTCAGAAGCACGTGCTCCCCCAGGCCTGGCTCTGCCGTGCATGCGCCGCGTGACTTTGGGCAAGCTGGCTAACTCCTCTGGGCCGCCATGTCCTCGGCTGTGAGCTGGGAATGGTCACCGCACCCACTTCCCAGGGGTGTTACGCAGCTGAAGTGACTGAACTCATGAGAAATGCTCAATTAGCCCCTGGGCTGTGGAGCCGTGTGTCACCTTTCTTGGTACTTTTGACCCATTTGTATCAGGGGTCCCCAGGACCACCCCCAGGTTCGGTGATTTGCTGGGAAGACTTACAAGACCCAGCATATAGTCGTGCTCAGGGTAACGATCTGGTCCACTGATGGGACCCAGCAAAGGAGAAGGCGCACAGCGGGGCCAGGCCACCAGAGTCCTCTCACATGGGGTCACATGGGACATGCGTAATTCTCCAGCGATGGCTTGTGACAGCATGTGTGAAATGCCGTCTACCAGGGAAGCCCACTAGAGACACAGCTCCCAGGACCGGTTACCTAGGCACCTCCGGCTGGCACCCAAATCCCAGCCCTGCTTAAGGAGAGCAGGTGGTCAGCATAGACCACACCTGGTATGAAGCTTCCAGGCGCAGCCAGTGCCTCCTGGCGGGTGGCAGGAACCCTCCAGAAATCCAGTCCCCGGGGGCCAGCCCCGCCAGCAGAGCTTTGTGGGGAGGGCGGCCTGACCTGCTGTGTGGACTGCTTTCTGCGCAGCCCAGAAACCAGCCACGGTCTCCTCAGTGGGTGCCCTGTCTGGAGGAGCATGTGCCCACCATACCTGGGCCACCTGCGTGTTGGCAGCTGCCTGGTCGCCATCGCATGGCGACTGTCACCATCTCGTGTGTACCGATGTGCATGCTGTTCCCTTTAGCTGTTAAGCGATGCCAAGGTGCCTTGCCTGGTGTGTGCGTACCATCACCCCTGATGTGGGCCTCATTTACACAGTGGATCTTGACATGGAGCTGTGTGTGACTTTGGGACAGACAGATGACGCAGGCACTGCTGATGTGTTGTGTTCTCCCTCCCTAGTGATGACAGCATCATCGGCGTCACGGAGCCTCGCCGAGTAGCCGCCGTGGCCATGTCTCAGCGAGTAGCCAAGGAGATGAATCTGTCACAGCGGTGAGGGCTTGGTTTCCTGGGAGAGTATCGGAGGTAGTCCTTGGCCTTGGCCAGGGGTCAGCTGTCCAGGAGCTGAGCAGCCCTCATCCACCCAGGGACACTGGGTGGGAGTGTGGCTTCTCTTTGTGCAGGGGTCTTATACGAGAAGGCTTCCTGCACACCGGACAGTGGGACCCTCCTGGGCGGGGGAAGCATGGAGCAGGGACAAACCAGCCAGGCCCTTGGGCTCCCATCACACAGTGCACTGAGGGGACAAAGTGGCCCTTACAGGGGTCTGAGGGCAGAGCAGAGCAGTGGGTGGGCAGACGCAGGCCAGCAGTGGTTAGTACTTAGCATTGCCAAGTTCATGTGAAACCCAAGCTTCCAAACTGCATGTCCTCGCTGGCAGTGAGGCCGTGGACTTGCCTGGAAAGCAGTTTGAGCAGAGCAGGTACAGCGCTCGCTCAGGAGTGGCCGGGGCGTGTGTGCGATGCAGGGTCCTGGGCCTCGGCCCACACCTTGAATTCGGCTCTGAAGGGGTGTCTGTCCCAGGCAGTCTAAAATTCAAAAAACAGGAGTGTAGAGTGAGTCTCTGTCACCTGTCCTGTCATCAGATGTTGACTGAGCTGTGTCTGCTGTGTGCAGGCCTCCCCTGGGCCCTCAGCACATGGCAGGGGGAGCGACAGCCGCCTGCCCCGTTGGGACTGGCATGTGGGTGAGGGCGGCTTTTGTGTTTGCACATTGGTAGGTGAGGTGCCCAGCTCCATTCCATGGCGGCAACCACCGCTGCGCGGTGGATCCTTTCCTGTGGATCCTTCTAGAGAGTTCTGTGCCCAGACAGGCCACTGTGTCTCTGTTTCTCCCTGACAGCTGTACAAGTGGTTCATGCTGTTCACACTCTCCATCTTTTCCGTCCCGTGTAATGGTCTACCTTGGAAACAGCAATACATAGAAAGCTGCCCTTTATTTTAATCTTATTTCTAGACTTTCTACTGTGAGAATTTCAAGCATGTACAAAAGTAGACTATGTAATGTGCCCAACACCCTGTGTTAATAATTGTCAACTCACGACCAACTTTGTCCCTCTGTGCCTTCGGTCCTGCCCCCAGCTGTTGAGAAGCAGGTTGAGATATCATATCACCTCATCTTCAGTATTGCCCTGTGGGTCTGACAGATCAGGGCCTTTTTTTTTTTTTTAAATCAGACTCTAATAAAAACAGCTGCAGCACCCTCGTGACTAGAGAGCACATCCTCACTCCCAAGTGGACTCTGGTCCGTGATCACATTGCCCTGGCTGTCTCCCAGAAGGCTTTTACAGTTGGTTGGTCCGGCCAGGGTCCCCACGTGTGTTTGGTTGACACGCTGTCCAGTTGACCGTGATGGCTACCCCAAACACACACTGGTGGGGGCAAGGGAGGCTGGGCAGATGTCTGGGCCGTGTCAGCGGCATTGGGGGCCCTGCCCTTGGGCCACCTACTCGCCTTGGAGTGGCCATGAGGCGACACCCCCAACCAGCTACGCTTCTGGGGCCTCGCCTCCTCTGAGCCCTAGCCTGTCCCCGCAGGGTCATCTCTTATCAGATCCGATACGAAGGGAATGTGACTGAAGAGACCAGGATCAAGTTCATGACAGACGGCGTGTTGCTCAAGGAAATCCAGAGGGTGGGTTGTTCGTCTCGTCTTATAGAGCAAGGCCGGTGAGCACGGGTTGTGGCACCCTGGATGTGAGCAGCTCTGTGCCAGCTGTTGGCAGAGCACCCCATACCACCGTGCCACTGTGTGACATGGGGCAAGTTACTTGACCTCTCTGGCCTGAGATCCTTGCTGTGCAAGCTGGTGCCTTCCTGGTGTAAGTATTTGGCAGCAGAAACCGCGTGATGCACGAGAGCCGCTTAGCACAGTGTCTAGTAAGTGCTCGTTAAGTGTGAGCTCGTGTTTTCATTACCGTTTGGTTCATAGACCTTGTGCGTTAGCCAGAGGCGTACTGCCCTTGCTGGCTGTGTCACATTCCCTTGGGCAGTGGTCTCTGGGGAGGGCAGAGGTGGCTCCTGCTTCCTCTGCCTGGAGGCCAGCCATGGTCATTCCAGGAAGGAGTCTGTGAGCATGGCGTTGGGTCCCATGGTCCCTTTCTGTACCCATGGCCCTTGGTCCCCGCCCTCCCCACCCAGCAGGCATCTCTGTAGCTCATTTAGTAGCTCAGCTCATTTAGTAGCTCAGCTCTAATAAATCGTAGCTGCCCCTTCTCTGCCAGGCCCCGCCCCTTGCCGTGTGCTTCACAGGTAGTCATAATCATTGGGACCCCATGAGGTGGGTCCTGTCGTCCCCATTGTATAGATGAGGAAACTGAGGCACAAGGAAGTGAAGTAACTGGCCGAGGTCACAGACCAGGACCCCCCAGACCAGGTGGCCCAGGATCCATGCCTGCTATTGCAGGGCTTCTTGGGCGGGAGTTTGGGGGTGTGAGGCGACCCCGGGTGGCTGAGGCCCGGGCTGGCCAGCCTCACCCCCTGGCCTCCACTCCTAGGACTTCCTGCTGTCCCAGTACAAGGTCGTGATCATCGACGAGGCCCACGAGCGGAGCGTGTACACAGACATCCTCATCGGGCTCCTGTCCCGCATTGTGTCTCTCCGGGCGAAGGTAGGGAGGAGGTGGGGTACCGGGAGCCCCTGCGCCCCACGGCCAAGGCTTCCTCAGCCCACACCGGGCTGCTGCTGTGACAGGGTCTCCGGAGGACAAGAGCCCCACCCAGTGCCGGCCTGTGGGTCTCACTGTAATAGCCCCTGTGTGACCCCACCTGTGGGCATCCTGGGTGCAGCCTCGTAAATTGTTACCTGCCCTCTGCCCAAAGCAAGAGGCTCCAGCAAGGAGTTCGTGGCTGACCAGGCCCCATCGGCACCGGCTCTAAGATGCCAGCCAGGTCATTGGAATCGTGGAGCACTTGGGGCAGCCAGCCACAGCCTGTGCTCCCCGCTCTGAGTTGCCTGCCCAGCGCCGGGCCTGGCATCAGCCCCAGCCTCCAGTCCACTCCCACCCTGCTGGGGCAGAGGCACACATTGAGGCCTGCTGGGTCAAGGAATGCCCCAGGGGTGGGGCCTCCACGAGCAGTCCTGTCGTAGCCCCAGTTCTGCTGGGAAGTTGACACTGCCTGCTCCTTACAAGTGGAACTGTCCTCAAACAGATTTCAGTTCTGTGTGTGCCAGGCCAGGTCAGGGCACTGGCCACGTGCCAGTGGACGGGGCAGCAGTTCCTGCCATCCTCGGGCTTGATTTAAGGAGGGCAGCTGGCAGTGAGCAGACTCAGGAGGTCTATGAGCTGGTGACAGACAAAGCCAGGGAGAGGGGAGAGCCAGGGAGAAGGTGGAGGGCAGTGGGGGGAGAGGGGGGCTGAGGGAAATGAGGGGAGAGCAGGCGGGCACGGGCCACGCCCACAGTGCCCCGAGTGGGCCCCTGCCTCACGGTCCTCCCTAGAGCTCCGCTTTGGAATTTAAGGGCCCCCTTACCAAGCCACCACCTGGGAGAGGCAGGTCTTGCTGTCAGCCCACTTTTTATACTTTTTCTGCCATTTTTGGCAACCAGAATGGGGGCGGCAAGGCTCAAGCAGGAGGGAGGCCAGGAGGGCAGCGGTCTTCCCGGCCCTGCATGGCCGAGGGTCACTGAGCCTGCTGTCTCACAGAGGCTCCTGCCACTGAAGCTCATCATCATGTCGGCCACGTTGCGGGTGGAGGACTTCACCCAGAACCAGCGGCTCTTCGCCACTCCGCCCCCGGTCATCAAGGTAATGCCCGGGCCAGGGTCTTGGGCAGCCGGGGAGGTGACGCCTCAGCTTCCACCGAGCAAGGACTCCCTGGGAGCAAGGAGGTGCCCAAGGGGCGTTGAGCTGTCGGCCCCAAGCTGAGACCTCGCGGTCAGAAAGCTGAAGCAGGAGGGACCGGGCCGGGCCAGCGCTCCACCCGCAGCCCCCGCCTCTCCCCTCCCGGGGTCTGCTGTAGGTCGAGTCCAGGCAGTTCCCGGTGACGGTGCATTTCAACAAACGGACGCCACTGGAGGACTACAGCGGCGAGTGCTTCCGGAAGGTCTGCAAGGTGCACCGGATGTTGCCTGCAGGTGAGGCCGGGTCCTCCGCTCCCAGGCCCACGAGCTGCAGGCGGCCTGGGCTCCTGGCCCCCTCCAAGAGGCTTGAAGTAGTGTCCTTGCCATGCCTCGGTTTCCTCCCTGGTCCCAGAGTGTTTATGATGGCACCTGCCCCACCACGTTCCACCCGAAGTGTCGTGAGGCTTCAGTGGCTCACGGGGAGGGCCGGTGCGTTCCGTCCACACCTGACACCAGGACAGTCCACAGGGCCCAGGCAGGTGCCCGCAGGCACAGGTCGGTGACCTTCAGTCCCAATCCCCCTCACGGCGCTTACCACGTCCCCACGGCGCTTGCCGAGTTATTATTTATTGACCTAATGTTATTTAAGTGGACTCGTTCTTTCTTGCTCTGTGCCTGTTCTGGACTTTTCACATGAAGGGAGTCGTACCGCCCGTGGCCTTCGGTGTCTGGCCTCTCACTCAGCGTCATGTTTCTGAGACCCAGCACTGTGCTCCTTTCTACATCAGAGCTGCACTCCGTTGTGCGGGTGGCCCCCGCCCCGTTTACCCACCCCTCTGGGCAGGGATCGGGTTGCTCTGTCCTTGGCTGTTGTGCACGGAGCCACTGTCACCGTCTGTGCACAGCCTCTGGTCGGTACCCTTTTTCCGATCTTCCGGGCCGATGCCAGGCGAGGAGCTGCCGGGCCGTGCGGACGTGACTGCCCCATGCTCTGCCGTGTCCCCTGGTTTGGCTCTCCCCCGCGCCTGGCTCTCAGCGGGCTTGGCCGACGGTCATCGCCGAGTCAGTGTTTGCCGCGTGAATAGACGGGCATCGGCGGGCCTCGTTCCTCCCGCAGGTGGCATCCTGGTGTTCCTGACGGGGCAGGCCGAGGTGCACGCACTGTGCCGCAGGCTGAGGAGGGCGTTCCCACACGCCAGGTCCAGGCCACCAGGTAACCGGCATCTGGGGTGCTTCACCCTGAGAGGCGGGGTCAGCATTGGCTCAGAGCCTCCCTCTCCCCCCCGGGGAGAGCTGACCCCTTGGCCTGCCCTCCCATACCCCCCGCCCCCATAAACGAAGCAGTGAGCTTAGTTCGGACAGTGAAGAGCCCGGCCCTGGCCACAGGTGTCTCCTCCCCGCTAACTTGCTCACCTTTTCCAGAAAACGAAGATCAGAAAGATTCAGTAGAAGAAACGCGGAAGTTTAAGAAGTCGCGGGCGAGGGCGAGGAAGGCCCAGGCGGCGGTACGTGTGGGTGCGGGGGCAGCGAGGGGCCGGGGGCTGCCCTGTCCGACCCCTGCCCCCTACCCCATCCCCTGCCGGTGGAAAGTTAAATCGAAGTAGAATTAAAGTTCACTTCCCCGGTCATACCACACCCGCTTCAGGTGCTCAGTGGTCCCCTGGGGCTGCTGGTGACCATCCTGGATGTCGTGGGCCCAGGACACTCCCGCCATGGAGGCCTGGTGCTGCTCCAGAGGTTGCAGGACGGTCTGTGATTTGAAACATTCAAGGATCCCTGTGCTGTGATCCAGGAGGAAGCTTCTGGAAGTCTGGGCCCTGAGCGCCCAAGCAATAGCATCATTATTTAGTTCTAACTCTCCTGCTGCCTTTACAACACGCCAGGCAGGGTGGTTCCTTATGTGTGTGGGTTAACGGTCCTCACAGCAGCTCTGTAAGATAAGTCTCGTGGGTGGCCCCACTTTTCAGATGAGGAAATTGAGGCAGGGAAAGGTGGGGTGACCTGCCGTGGCGCCTGGCTCGTGGGCAGTGGAGCCGGCCTAACGCTTGAAGGGACTTGTCTTTCTTGGTGGTTTGTCTCCACGGGATGACCCGCAGCCCCTGGTCCTGACATCTCGTTTCCCGCAGACGTTGCCCCAGATCAGCTTGGACAGTTACTCGGTGTTGCCAGCGGGCGAAGGTGACGAAGACAGGGAGGCAGAAATGGACGATGAGGAGGCTCTGGGCTCGGACCTGGACCTGGACCTGGGGGACGACGGAGCAGGCGGAGGTGTGACCTCAGCAGGGCCTCCCGCTCCCGCGTTCATCCAGTTCACTCATTCAGCAAGTGTCCGTCGAGCCCCAGACTTCCCTGTCCCGCGCTCTGGGACTCCAAGTCAAGTGATGTCACCTGGAGCGGTTCCCCTCATGAGCTTTGAGCCCCAGGGAGCTGGGGGTTCTGGCTGCTTTGTCCCCTGCTGTCTCTTGAGCTCCTAAGACTGGCACAGAGCAGGCTTCCAAGTACTTGTGTTGGTTGTACTGGGAGCGCCACCCTCAGCTCCCCATGGCTGGGTGAACGTAGGCCTCAGAGCCGGCTGGGAGGACAGTCCAGCTCCCGAGGGTGCTCCCCGGGGCTTCACGTGGAGACGGGGCCGTGCGGGGCAGCCCTGGGCACCCCCAGCTAGCACAGGGCCCGTGGCTGGGCTCTGCAGAGAGAGATTGTGCAGCTGCCAGCATTCCTAAAAAAAGGCGGTGGGTCTGGGGGGCCTCCCTGCCCTCTAGCCACGCAGGCCGGGCCTGCCTGCCCACACACGTATCCCGCGGGCTGAGCTGCCAGCGGCGTGGCTGGCATAAGGCCTCTGCAGCAGAGCCATGGGAGGCGCTGGGCAGTATGAGGCTGGCTCCTGCCTGGGGTGTTGGGGGTACCAGTCCGGGGTACCAGCGTGCCTCTGCCGTCCCCACAGATGAGCAGCCAGACGCCTCGCTCCCCCTGCACGTGCTCCCCCTCTACTCTCTGCTGGCCCCAGAGAAGCAAGCGCAGGTAACGGTGCGGGGCCCGGGGTGGGCGCCTGCCTGGGGTGCCTCCTGCGTGCATCCAGACGGGGCCGGGGCAGGCCCCAGCGTCCACCCCATCAGCCGTTGGCTCAGCTCCCCCGGGTTTTGAGAGTATTGGGTTCTCCAGCTTTCCTGCATTTAGCTTAGGAGCATTGCGGCCTGAGGCAAGGAGAGGACCTGGTCACATTGTCACCCCACCCCGGCCCACACATCTTGCCGACTTCTCTCTGATCAAGAGGAGTTTCCCCACTTTGACCCCTCACGAGTTCTTTCCTGATTCTGGGGTGTCTTTGCTGCCTGCCCCGCCCTCCTAGGTCTTCCAGCCTCCCCCAGAGGGAACTCGACTGTGTGTCGTGGCCACCAACGTGGCCGAGACGTCCCTCACCATCCCGGGCATCAAGTACGTGGTGGACTGTGGGAAGGTCAAGAAGCGACACTATGACCGGGTCACTGGCGTGTCCTCCTTCCGCATCACCTGGGTCTCCCAGGCCTCGGCGGACCAGCGGGCGGGCCGCGCAGGCCGGACGGAGCCTGGCCACTGCTACAGGTGGGTGCCCCGGGGCCTCTCCGTGTCGCCGAGACCTCTGCAGCGGCCATCCTCTGGGGAGCAGGAGAAAGGGGGTCCCGCATCCCACGGGAGACTGTCCTCGGGATGCCTCACAAGCCCTTTGTTGTTGGCCTTCAACTACGTCCTTCCTTTATTCCACTGCTGGGGTCAGCCCTGTCCTTGGTGGCTTCGTTTTGTCTTGTTCTGTTTTTTGTTGTTGTTGTTGTTGTTTTTTTGTGGTAAGAGTCCGTTATGTTAGAGCCTTGTCAGAGGTAATACTGGCGAATGTTTTTCCCAGTTCGTGTGCCATCATTTTTATCAGTAACTGTTGCTGTTCTCTTTAATGTTAAGTTATACAAGAAGAAAATTGAGAAACTATACAAATAAAACAGTAAGAAATAATGGCGGTTGAATTTACCCAGAGCTGTGTGCCAGGCCCCACCTAAGCCCCTACGTGATACCTAAAACACTCCCACCAGCCCCCAGCGGCAGGTGCGAGGTTAGCCCCTTTCACGGATGAGAACGAGAGGCAGGACCGGGGAAATCCGCTGGCCGAGTCCGGCGCGTGTCGGGCAGTGTGGCCATGAGCGCCTCCTTCATCTGTTGTTTCGTGCTGTTGGCCCGCCCTCAGGCTCTATTCATCCGCGGTTTTCAGTGACTTTGAGCAGTTTCCTCCCCCTGAGATCACCAGGAGGCCCGTGGAAGACTTGATCCTTCAGATGAAAGCCCTCAGCATCGAAAAGGTCAGCGCAGCCCCCAGCCCTGACCCCTCGATGCGCCCGTGCCCAGTGTGGTCGGCTAGGACCGCCCCACCCCCGTGGGCCAGCTCCCCTTCCTCACAGCCGGGGGGCCCGAGCGCTCAGCACACTGGTGGTTACCCAGCACTTGGGGCTCCCCACCTCCCAGGACCCCCACTTCTCCAGGGCTGTGCCACTTGACCACCAGGGGACGGCCGCCTAGGACAGAAGCTGCAGACAGGCCGCCCACTGCGTGGAGGGCTGTCGGTGTCCTCGGGTCTCTGCCCAGTCAGTCCCTGGGGAGGGGAGTGACCACCTCACGCTGCCCCTGTCCAGGAGGGGCGCCTCTCCCCGTCCCTCTCTTCTCCAGCCCAGGCACCCACAGGCTGCTTTCCGTCTCTGTGGGTTCATCCGTTTTGGACATTTCACGTAAACGGAATCGTGATATTTGTCCCTTTGTGACTGGCCTCTGAGCATCGTGTTTTAAGGTCCATCCGTGCTGTAGTCTGAGTCGGCAGTTCCTGCCTTTCCGTGGCTGCATCACGTCCCAGTGTGTGGTGACCGCGTTCCAGTTACCAGTTTGCGACTGTTGGACGCCTGCTCGTTCTCAGCTTTTGGCTGTTGTGAATAGTGCTGCTGTGCACATGTGCGTGCAAGGCGTGATTGCACTTGTCTTGAGTTGGTCACTCTTTCTAAGGTGCCACCATCTCAGAGCCTGTCACTCCTCGCCCCCTCACCATCTGATCGCCTGGGCACGTTTATTCCTGTCTGCGTGTTACGCACGTGTGCGGCCCCTCGTGGTTGAGCGGAAGCTCGTGGAGGCAGAGCCCTTGTCTTGCTTTGCTTGACCTCCATTGCCAGGAACGGCCCTGGTGCCCACGTTGGGTGCTCAGTGCCTGCTTTCGAGCAAGTGGGCGCTGTGAACGAAGGAAGGAAGGGGCCTTTGGGGCTCCTCCGGCAGTGGACTTTGGGAGTGGCCAGGCTCCCTCCTGTAGTCACCATGCTCGCTTCTCCGCGTTCACTTCTGTCGCCGCTGTCCCCTGTCCCCGTGTCCCAGGTCATCAACTTTCCCTTTCCGACCCCTCCTTCCGTGGAGGCCCTTGTTGCTGCCGAGGAGCTGTTGATCTCGCTGGGTGCCCTGCAGGCGCCCCAGAAAGCAGAAAGGTAGGGCAGGGGCTGAGGGGAGTGGAGAGCCTGGTTCCCAGCCCGTTCTCAGCCCTCTCCCCGCTCGTTCCCCTCTCCCCCCTCCTCCCTCCCTCTCCCCTCCCCTCTCCTCCCTCCCCCCTTTCCTCTCCCCTCCTCCCCTCGCCCCAGCCGACCCCAGTGCAGGGGCTCTGAGCTTTGGCGCTAGAGCCTCCTCCGTCCTCCAGAGTGAAGCAGCTGCAGAGGTCCCGGCTGAGCTGCCCCATCACCGCGCTGGGCAGGACCATGGCCACGTTCCCCGTGGCGCCCCGCTATGCCAAGATGCTGGCGCTGAGCAGACAGTACGGTTGCCTGCCGTACGCCATCACCATTGTGGCTGCCATGACAGTCCGGGAGCTGTTCATGGAGCTGGACAGGTGGGGTGGGGACTGGGCACTCAGGGCTCTTGCTCAAGCTGACAGGCCACCTGGGCTGGGAGGTGGCCCAGAGCCCAGCCTGGGGGTGTGACCGGTTCATGGGGTGGCCTCATGCAAGACCCTTGTCCTACAGGGCCTGGCAGTGCTCCGATCTCCACAGAGACTGTTTTAATAAAATTCCTCGAGCACCGCCAACCCCTGGGTTCTGTAGCGTAATGGCCAGGAGCCCGAACTCTGGGCCAGACCTTCGGGGTTCAGATCTCCCTCTGCCACTTCCCAGCTGTGCGGCCTCAGGAGGGTGACTTCCCCTCTCTGTGCCTCATCTTCCCCATGTGGAAAACGGAGGTGATGATGATGAAGATGGAGCCGTTAGGGTTCAGTTACTCAGCGCCAGGAAGGGGCTTCAAACCGTGCCAGACACATACCTGAATGTCCGCTGTTTTCAGGTTTGGGAACCGTGAGAGTAATTCATTGATCTAGGTCGTGCCTGGTGCACATTTCAGCGGCTTTCAGGATTTTTTATTGTTTTTGTAAGCAGCACAGCAGCACGGGGTGTTGCTCATTTGTCGGTTGTTTCTTTATGCTTGTGCTGACCCCTAAGCGTGGAAGTGCTGGATAGGAGGTGTGCACATTGCTGTTCTGCTGGCTACAGGAGTTGAATTTTGGGGTGAATATTGAGCCAGAGCTGAGGACCTTAGTCATGCCCGGTGCCCACCAGGCATCACCTCTGCCCCTCAGCCTGCTCGCGTGAGCCGGTGGTTCCCTGCCCTCGTGACCTTCGGCCAGGCACTAGCTGAGAGGGGTGTGTGTTTATAGACCAGCCGCCAGCGACGACGAGCTCACCATGCTGAAGGACAGGCGGGCCCGTGTGGCCCGTATGAAGAGGACCTGGGCAGGACAAGGCGCTTCGCTGAAACTCGGGGACCTCATGGTGCTGCTGGGTGTGTGCCCTGGCGAGGAGGGGCGGGGTGGGGGGCGGGCCCACGGCGGGACAGTGCGTGAGTGTGCCCGGCCCCCACAGGTGCCGTGGGGGCCTGCGAGTACTCTGGCTGCTCCGCCCAGTTCTGCGAGACCAACGGGCTGCGGTTCAAGGCCATGCTGGAGATCCGACGCCTGCGGGGCCAGCTGACCACCGCAGGTACGGCCCCCGCGCCAGCCTCCGGGCTCCCAGCCCCCACCACGGGCAGCCCCGCAGGCAGTGCGACCCTTCCAGTATTCAGAGTTGTTTTCAGCGGCGTCATCCGTGTACTTGATTCTCGATTATCCAAGGGTTCCATCCTGGCAAATGCATCTGCTCACTGAAATTTGTCCGTCACCCCACAGTCAGTTCTCGGCGCCTTTGCGCTCCTCCACGGCGCACCAGTGAGCGGAGCGGTGACGTGCACACCCCTGCCAGTCCTCTCAGTCACACCCTTTCCTTGGTGACATCCCTCTCGTCACCCTCCGTCCCTCGCTCCAGCCTAGACCAGCTGCCCCTGGCACCCCCAGCTTCATCTTTGGGTTCCCCGCTCCCATGTAGGATTTGGCCCTGGCTTCTCCAGCGTCTGTTGGAGCCCACGTGTTTCTGAGCTGCTGTCCTGCCACCCTTGGTGGCTTTTATCCTCGAGGCCACCGTGGGCTCAGAAAGCAGATGGAGCTTTAATCACATCTTCTCTCCAGGCTGGAGGAGGGGGCGGCTCCGTGCTCACAGCCTGGACAGGACCGAGTCCCAGGGCTACCCTGGGGTCCAGGGACAGTCACCTCTTATGTCACTCTGCCGGCCACAGAGGAATATTGGGACATGGCTATGGGGTGGGCAGCTGGTTTTGCCTGGCTGAGGGCTTTATCTCCTCAGAAGCCTCGGTAGGGGGTGGCCAAGATAAGCGGGTGCTGAGGCCGGAGCTCCATGCTGGGCGTGGGGCTTCCCAGGCGGTCCAGGCAGCGCCGGCCCCCGGCCCACCGACTCACCGCCGTGCTCACCCCCGGCTCTCCCTGCAGTCAACTCTGTGTGTCCTGAGGCTGGGCTCTTCGTGGACCCCAAGATGCAACCGCCTTCCGAGAGCCAGGTGACCTACCTGCGGCAGATCGTGACAGCCGGCCTGGGTGACCACCTGGCCCGCAGGGTCCAGAGCGAGGACCTGCTGGACGACAAGTGGAGGAACGCCTATAAGGTGCGGCTCCAGCTCGGGAGGCAGGCCGCGTGGCGGTCACTGTGCCTGCGGCTCCCCGCCCTCCCTGCCCCCCATCTGTCTCGAGTCCTGCCAGCCTGGCCGTTCGTGAGTCCTGGCTCGGGGCATCATCAGGACACCTGGAGCAGCCAGGGGGACCGTGGGGTCCCCGCAGCCTCCGGGAACGTCCCCACCGAGGAACAGAGTTGAGTGCACAGCGGGGCCACAGCCCCCGTGGGGCGTTAGCTTCCCTCTGACGTTATTATCGTACCCAGTTAGTTGAGGCACAAGTCGTAAGCGGTGCGATTCACTGTTCCAAAGTGCCTGCAGCCTCTGGTCTCGGGCAGTCGCAGAGCTGCATGCGCGTCACCGTGGCCAGCACGCTCGTCGCCTGCCCGCAAGCAGGCATTCCCCGTTTGCCCCGGCCGCCCCGCCCGCGGAGCCTGCTCCCTGTCTGCGGGTCGGCTCCTGCCCCGGGCCTCGTGGGACGGGAATCCCAGCACGTGGCCTCTTTGGTCTGGCTTCTCCCCGTCAGCAGGGTGTCCTGAGGTCTGTCGCGCTGCAGCGTGTCCGTACCCATGTCCGTACGTGTTCACGGCTGAGTGCCGTCCCATGGCGCGGATGCACCGTGCGTCCCTTGGTGGAATGCCCGGCCGCGTGCCCGGCCGCATGCGTAGCTGAATGCACGTGGGCTAATCTCACCCGGTGCTCGTGCCCCCTGCACTCACGCCCACTCACCGTCTCTCTCTGCAGACCCCTCTCCTTGACGACCCCGTCTTCATCCACCCGAGCTCCGTCCTTTTCAGAGAGCTGCCCGACTTCGTGGTGTACCAGGAAATCGTAGAGACCTCCACGGAATGCCCGGCCGCATGCGTAGCTGAATGCACATGGGCTAATCTCACCCGGTGCTCGTGCCCCCTGCACTCACGCCCACTCACCGTCTCTCTCTGCAGACCCCTCTCCTTGACGACCCCGTCTTCATCCACCCGAGCTCCGTCCTTTTCAAAGAGCTGCCCGACTTCGTGGTGTACCAGGAAATCGTAGAGACCTCCAAGATGTACATGAAAGGTCGTGACGCTGGTGGCCGGCCCCTCGCCCGGCCCACTGTGGCCCTGCCAAACTGTCGCTGGGCCCCTCCGGGCAGCCCTGCCCTCTGTAACCCCAGCCCCTCTCTCCCGGGCCCCCAGGCGTCTCGGCCGTGGAGGTCCAGTGGATCCCAGCCCTGCTGCCTTCCTACTGCCAGTTCGACAAGCCCCTGGAGGAGCCGCCCCCCTCCTACTGCCCCGAGAAGGGGCGGGTGTTGTGTCACCGGGCCAGCGTGTTCTGTGAGTTGGGGCGACTTCTGGTGGCCTTGGGCTCCGGTGGACACGTGGTCCCATGCTGCACAAGGCAGTGTTTGTTTGTGTCCCAGGTGTTGTCATGCCAGGCTGGCTGTCCCTTTGGTGGGCAGGGCCCAGGGCTCGGGATGGGACTAGGGAGGCAGTGGGGGTCCTTCCGGGTCCCTCACTGGCCCTTGCCCTCCAGATCGCGTCGGCTGGCCGCTCCCCGCGGTCCAGGTGGATTTCCCGGAGGGCCTCGACTGCTACAAGCACTTCGCCCGGTTTCTGCTGGAAGGGCAGGTGGGGAGCCCAGTGATCTTCCCAGCCCCTCCTTGGTGCCGGGGGTCAGGGGTGAGCCCAGGACCCCTCTCCCCGTCCTGTTCTCTCTCCTCAGGTCTTCCCCACGCTGGCCCGACACCGGGGCTGTTTGCTGTCCAGCCCCAGCACGATGCTGAAGACGTGGGCCAGGTACGGCCTCTCCCAGGAGCACCAGGGTGGCAGGTGGTGGTGACGGGAGCTGGTGTTTGTGTCCTGGGCACCGTAACAAATGACCACCAACTGAGAGCCTTAAAGCACCAGAAATGTCTCCTCTCTCAGCCCTGGAGGCCAGAGGTTCAGAGTCCGGGTGCCGGCAGGCCTGTGCTCCCTCGGGAGGCTCCAGATGGTCCTTCCTGCCCCTCCAGCCCCTGGGGGACCCAGGCGTCCCTTGGCTTGTGGCTGCACCCTTTTGATCTCTACTTGTGTTCACATGGCGGTCCTATGTCTCAGGGCACCTCCTATGAGCACACCTCGTTGGGTTCAGGGCCCACCCCAATCAGTGCGACTGCATCTTAATCACGTCTCCAAAGACCCTGTTTCCCAATAACGTCCCATTCTGAGGTCCTGGGTGGACGTGGACTTTGGGGGGACACTGGTCA